TTCCGCGGTCCCCGCGCCTCCCCCGCCGGCGTACCGCCCCCGTTCCCCGCCCCGCGCCGCTGCAGCGCCGCCCCCCGGCCTGAGGGTGGGGGGAGCTGGAGGGGGGCGCGTTGAGAGCCCCGGCCGCCGTGTGCGCAAGGCTGCGAGGCGCGGGAGCAGGGGCCAGGGAGAAGGTGACACAGCCTCCAGGAGGCACCAGAAACCTCCTGGAGTGATTTACGAGTGTCCAGTTCGAAGAATAGCTCATAATTTAATCCAAAGTTTCCTAAATATTATAAATAGAACCTGGCTTCGCAAAGACTGAGAGCCGGCTGGCGACTCTGACTTGCTGATGGCCCTAGGCGGCTCCCGGGCAGTCCGCGCGCCTGGAGGGTCTCCATTTAGTCTCGCGGACAGGTCTATGCCGCTGCATTTGACATTAGTACCGCGGGACTCACACGCAGAGGGAGGTGCAGTAACGAGGGGTCATGGGGAAAACTTGCTGTCCCCCTTCCAAGAGAATAAGTGTGTGAATCAACCTGTGAGGCACCGCCTATTTGCCTTTACGATGATAGTCTAAGGCTGTGCCAACCAATCCAGTTTTCATTAAGAACTAACGTTAGTCCTCGATTGACCTTTTCCTGGGTTCTGAAATCCCTATTACAGCATTCTCACAAAGGCTTGAGTTATAAATCTGCCACAAAAGCTCAGCCACTCTTGTAAACCAACCCCTCTCCGCCCCCCCCCCCGCAAAACACACACACACACACACACACTCTCTCACTCTCTCCCCCCCCTACTCCTCTGCATTCATTATTGTTTCATTGTCCAGCTATGTTTGGGTAATTGATAAAAACTGTTTAATTCAGGACAGCGTGTTAGATTGGTCACAGTCTAAAGGATTCCTGAATATTTTACATATGCTCTGGGTGGGCACTGCAGACTTAGTAATTACTAAGAACACTATTCAAACAGCATTAATTACCTAGAGCTACATCTCTCGAGGCTATACTTGGAAGGTATCCAGCCTGCACCTCGGGGGAGAAGACTGCAGTATAACCCTGGCCAGTCAGAATACAGATTCATCTCCCAAACTGTTGCCTGTCTTAATCTGAAGTCACAGCAAAATGACAGAACGCCTGCTCTGACGTGGCAGTTCAGCTGGCAGGCCAGGTCATGGCCTAGCTGGCCGCTGGTGGGGCTGTGCGGGCACTAGATGGCTGCAGGCCATCTTGGGCCCAGAGTAGGTTGCCTATCTGTGGCCTCAGTGTGCCAGGCCCTGGCTTAGCCACCCCAGGAGAGTGTTTGGTCAGTGAAATACTCACTCTGGCAGAAAAAGAGAGACGCTCTTCTTGTTCTCATTTCTTCATCTATCTAACAATAGCTAACGAGTACTCACTTAACTCCTAGGCTTAATGCTGAGTGTTTTCAAGAAGTTTAGTGTAGTGGGTGACAGACATACAATGCATAATACAACCAGACAATGGCAGAACAAGAGGGACGCGGAAGGCTGGACTTGCTCTCTGTAGTGAAGGCAGGGAGCCGGGTTGGGCTGGAACAGGAGCTATGGGGAATAAGCGCTCAGCCACAGATAGCAGAGGCTGACCGGAGAGCCTGGGTTACCACACTGAGTTTATGTTTGTCCAGGTGACAAGGAATGACTGAAGTCTTTTTAGCACCCTGGTGGCCAGATGGAGAAATACAGGGTTTTAAGAAACCAGCTGGGAGAAGTCTCAAGAGTTCAAGTTAGAGATGAGGGAGTGAGGCACTGGGAGTGGGGAGGAGGGGCAGATTCTAAAGCGAGAGGTGAGAGGGAACTCTAGAATGGCTTCCAGGGTCCTGGCTTCAGTGACTGGCCAGGTGTGACATGTGAGGCGCCTGCGCAGCAGAGCCCCAGCACAGGAAACCATACCTGGCAGGCAGCAGACACGATTACTAAATTAGGGTACAGAGCTCTTCTGGTTAGGGCTCAGGAATCGGGAGGTAACAATTAAGGGTGCATTCCTGGGGACCCCAGACACTTAAGAGGCTGGTAGAGGAGGCTGCAGTAGAGCCCGAGAGGCAGGAGAGAATCTTGGGAAGTCAGAGTTTCAGGAAGGCAGTGATCAAGCGTGAGAGCCAGCAAAGCAGCCAAAATAAGAAATTAAAACACCCTATTAAACTGTCAAATTGAAAGTGCTAACATTTGTCAAAGCCATGAACAGCAGAGCCCATGCTGTCAGGGCTAGGCCACCTCCGAAGGCCACTCACGGGGAAAATGGTACTTGGCTGTTCAAAGGCTCCAGCATGGAGGGATTTTATGGGCAGAGAAGAGATCAGGGCCCTGACTTTCTAAACATTCCTTTCCTAATCATTGCAGAGCAGGGAAAAGATACATGTCTTCGTTACCTATTTTCCTGGGCTGCAAGACAGGAACTTCATTTTGGACTCTACCATGGAAAGTCCATGTGAACCAGCCTCCCGTTCCATCTCTGAAAACACACTTTGCCTCTTCTTTGTATCGCAGTGTTGTTAGCATCACAACCCCTTCAGAAATGTCAGCACAGAGCAGCGTGAGCTTGAGCCATCACTCCCCTTCTGCCCCCACAAGTCCCCTGAGCAAAATGAAAGCTGGATTAAAAACATTCTTTCTGCTGGAAGTGACGCTAGAATAGAATCCTTATTATAGAATAAAATAGAATGTCTACTTGGTAAGCATTCTTACTTGTTCTTCACAGTGGAGCAGAGTCCAACTTGGTGGAAAAGGGGTACGAAAAAATCCCAAATACTGGACAACTGCTATATGCTGGGCACGTGCTGCCATTCAATGCTCAGCAGGCTTGAGAGGTGGCACAGTCACTATTCTAGCTCCTCAAACCTGGTACCCTCACCCAGCACCACCCAATGTGGGCGAGTCAGCCAGACCAAGCTGCCCTCCCCAGTGCAAAGACGTAAGATTCTGTATAACCCCTGGAGACCACCAAGAGTTTTTACTGTCCTAAAAATCTTTTGAAGAAAAGTTAAATTCTCAAATTGCCTTTCCTAGAATGAATTCTCAATCATGATGTCAACAAGTGGATCCCACTCCAGTAAAGTGATGAGGCCCACTGTGTGCTATTTCAGTAAGATGTTTCAATTAGAAACCTAGGACACAACTGGGCTCAAACTGGAGTTTGAATTTATCCACGTCACTTCCTTTTAACCCTTAATTTAGTTACAATTTTAACCTAGAAAGCAAAACCTAAAAATAGCTTTTTTAGATGCCACTCATTGCCAGAAAACATTACCTTTCCTGGGAAAATTTTAAAAATACCACAGCTGTTATTTCTGACCAGGCCAGAGAGAAAATACTCTTAACTATCAACCAATCAAGGAGAGGATTGTTGTTGTTGTTGTTGTTATTTGCCGTCGGCCCTGACTCATAGCAACCCCTCCTTGGGTTTCCGAGGCAGTATCACTACAGAAGTAGGATTGCCCAACCTTCCTTCCGAGGAGTGGCTGGTGGGTTTGAACCGCCAGCCTTCTGGTTAGCAGTCAAGTACCTTAGCCACTATGCTACCAGAGCTCCTAAGGAGACGATAAGCAAGGTTAAGTGCTTTGCAGAGATGCCAGAGGGCCCGTGTACGAGAACAAGAGCCCCGAGATGACATCCAGTCTTGAAAATGTGCACTCTCACCAGGTTCCTGGCTCACTAACCCACATCAAATGCAACAATTAAAGTAAAATTTCTAAAGCTGCATTAGTGCTCTTATGAAGAGAACACATACCCTCTGATTAAAAACTAAATATAAACCTTTATTTCACCAACTCTGTCATAATTCACTTTTTAATAAGGGCATGTATTGACAACATCATTTAAAATCCTGGGAATGCAAGATGCTGGGCGTCCTCCCGGCAGAAGCAGAGACGTGGGGACTCCAGGGCCAGTGCAGTGTTTCAGGCAGCACTGACCAGATGCAGTCTTGTCCAACCCTGGGTTTACTTAGAGCCACCTCCTTTTTTGGGGCCATTAGTCCTCATTTCATGCCAAATTTTCACCAGAGGCTCCCTGTTCTTCCAAATGAGTTCGTGACCATAAGTAATGTACCATCTGGGGAAAAGAAAAACAAAGCCAGTCCAGTATTCAAACGGTACCATGAAGTTAAGAAGCTGACATTTTTAAAAACTAATGCCACTACTCTTTATTAAATTCTTATCAAAACAGCTGATTAAGTTATTTAATGTAGATAAATGATTTAACTTTAGTATACATAGCATGCTAAAAGGTCAAAATAGGATGGGAACGGCCTAGAATGTGAATACTCTGAAGAGCACTGGTGCTTCACACACACTGTGCTGCTCCTTACCCTGCAGGGAAGTGCCATGTCCCTTAAGTTCCCACTGCCATCAAGTCGAATATCTGACTCATAGTGACCCCCATAGGGATTCCAAGGCTGTAAATCTTTACAGAAGCAGACTATCTCATCTTTCTCCCATGGAGCAACTGGTGGGTTCAAACTGCCAACCTTTTGGTTAACAGCCCATTAACCACTGCACCACCACAGTTCCCTTTTTCCCCTAGGTTAGACATGAGGAAACAAAGTCTACCAGTGGCCTCTGACTCAAAACTGACTCATGACAACTCCAAGCATGTCATAGTAGAACTGTATTCTATAGGGCTTTCAAGGGCTGACTTTTCAACAGTATTTCTATGCCTTTCTTTTGAGTGCCACTGGGTGGGTTCAAACCTCCAACCTTTCAGTTAGCAGCCAATGGTGTTAACAGTCTGCTCCTACCCCGGGGCTCCAGGACAAGTCTGAGAGAAAGTAACTTGCCCAAGGTGCTAACAGTACCCAGAAGGTCCTCTTTCCTCCTCTCTGCCCACCCTTTAAGATATACTTTGCATCTCACAGACACCTGACTATAAAAAGGTTCTATTTCAATTTCGATTGGTATCAAAATAGCAGTTTAATGTTTAATAATTTTTTAATGTTCTTAGCGTGTATCTTTTACTTTAAAGTGCTTGAATTACACTTTAATCATATTTAATCACTGTAACCAGTAGCTATAATGTACACTTGTTGTTGTCAGTTGCCATCGAGTTGGCGCTAACTCAAAGCGACCCCATGGACAACAGAACGAAACACTGCCCAGGGTCCTGGTCCTGTCCCTCTTCCTAGTCAGTCTGGAAGCGCCGCTGAAACCTGTCCATGATGGGTGCTCCTGCTGGTATTTGAATTACCAGTGGCACAGCCTCCAGCCTCACAGTAACACACAAGCCAGCACAGTTCCACAAACTGACAGACGAGGGGTGGGATGTACATTTAGTGCTCAGAAAATATAGCCGAAACCTGATTAAAATACAGTCACCATTATAATGTTGGAAAATAGAGAAAAGTGCAAAGAGAATAATCAGCTAAATTCACAGAAAGAAAAAAGGCCTGTACAAAAACAAACTAACTAATAGGCATATATTGAAATTCTTTGGAGCTTCAAGTCAAATTCTGTGGTAAATTTAGAATTAGAGGAAAAGGATCATCCTAAGATTCAAGTGTAACTGTAAAACCCTTGAAAGAACAGAATCACTTGTTAGGAACCCTTCGTTAAGGAAGAGTTTTTTACCTTCTTATTTTTAACCTACTTGTTTCAGTCAAAAAGTTAAATGGTATATAATCTTACAGGGACATGGTAGGAGTATGCTCACAAATTCAAATGTAACTAGCCATTTGGTTAAAATAAAGCTAGAAGAATACTTGAACAACAAGTTTCTGAGGCGTCCTTCTGAACAGGCCAACGCTCAGGGTAGCTGCCAGCCCTGCAGCCAGGGTGGCCCTGGGTAACGATGCTGCCTGAGCGTCCCAAAGCAGCCACCTCATCTGTAAAACGGAGGACTTCACAGGATTTGAGAGAATTCACTCAGCTCTCAGCTCTAGGATCCTATGAGAACCAACGTCCTTAGCCTAGACACACAGCAAATACTCGATATATATAAATATATATTATTCAACAGCACAATATAAAGACTAGAGAATTTCATCAGGCACGTGAAGTCAGGGAAATGTGCAGGTGGATATGAATGAAATCTTTACCATCAACAAAACAGGAAACTTTAACTAAATGAGAAAAGAGAGAGACAGAGTTTAGATTTAGGTTTCTAAATCTAGGTTAAAGAGGTTATAAAAGATGAATTCTGATTTTGACTGAGATCTAATAAGTGAAGAGGTGTTGAAACTACAGATAGCAAAGAGAAAGGGATTCTCTGTCAGATCCTGAACTTTCAAATGCATTTGATCTGGTTATTTTCAAGATGGAAGAAAAAGGCCATCTAACTATAGTTCAGAAAAATAAAAACCTACTGAGGAGAAGACCCTTTAAGTATACATGGAAGGATCCAAACAAGTATCGTGTTCATGAAACATAAATAACCCTTTTGCCTAAGTGATTACGTTTCTCCTACTATAATATCAGGTCAGTTTCTACTATTTATAATGTGCTGCTTTTAAAGCTTGAGCTCACATATGCTATTCTTTAATCATCACTGGAAATTATAAATGGCATAATGGCATTTAGTTCCACCGCCTACTGGGCAAAACTGCTCCACTTAGAATAGATTTTTCTTTTCTTTTTTTTAAATTAAAAACTTAAGTTTTTATTGTCATGAAACAAAGCAAAACCAAGTAAAGGCCGAAAGCAACATTTATGTGAAGAAAAGCTAGGCTGCCAGGGGCTCCGGTGCCTCTGAGGGGGCACTGCTCTGCTGATGGGCTCGTGGCCTACGGGCCGGGGAGTCCTGAGCTTCCCATTAGGACGTTTCCATGACAGAGTTGCTGCTCAACTCCATGTGTTAGGCAGAAGCCCACTGTCTGAAGCACAGATGGAACATCTTATAACCACAATGCCAACTATACTCAGTGTGGTGCACTGGGGGTTGGAAGGACTGTGGGCCTCTGCTCTGCAGCTAAAGAGCTATGTGACCCGGGGAAGGTGACTTCTGAGCCCCAGTTTCCCATCAGTAAAATGGAAGTAAAGGTAGTATAACACACAGTAAGCCAGCTCAGCACACAACAGATGCTCAGTAAGTAATGACCGTTGTATTCTGGTCCCTAGCGTCTACTTCAGCCACAGTGTTCAGGACACACTAACTGCAGGCAGGAAATGCTCTGCCCACTCAGCAGGTGTGCATGGCACTGTGCAATGGAGGTCAGTGGCAGCGGCTGGGCACTAGGCGGGGGAGATGAAGGCAGGAAGGTACGTGAGTGCGGAAGGGGGGATGATGGTACGTGTGGGGGCCAGGGAGCTATTAAACAATGTTCTACTTAAATTTAAAGGAGCTCTGGTGGCACAGTGCCTAAGGCATTTGACTGCCAACCAGAAGGCTGGAGGTTCAAACACACCAGCTGCTTTGTGGAAGGAAGATGGGGCAATCTATTTCCATAAAGATTTACTGCCTCAGAAACCCAATAAGGGGGGTCGCTATGAGTAAGAAGCAACTTGATGGCATTGAGATTGAATTATTTTTTATTTTACTTTTTTTGGTATTTAACTTTGTATCAGAACAGCAGTTTAATGTTTTATGGGTCTGGGCATGATGACAGTCAGGAGCTGGGGTGACAAAGTTCAGGGAAGCGCGACGAAGGCAGACTCTCTACAGTGACTGAGGAGGGGCAGCACTGCAGTCAGTGCCTGCTCACAGCCCACCTCCCATGGGGAGACTGGGGAGGGGCAAAGCAAGCTGTGCTGAGGCAGCTCCACCCTCCCGCCGCACCTGTTCTACCTCATCTCATAGCTGAGGCCTTCCCTGGGGGCCAGGTAGGGAGTTGATGCCTTAGGAGGCAGTTTCAGCAAACGTACACTCACTTACATGCCAAAGAGAGCTCCCCCAAGATGTGCTGCATGGTCAAAAAACTTCCATCCCAGGATCATTCCTGCTGTGTCCATGGCAATAATGGCTTTTAGGGCCTGCAAGTCAGCAAGAGAGAACAGAACTGCTGTGGCTTTGATTCCTCCAGCACTGACATTTCTAAGAAAGAGCAGCAATTCAGTCAGTGTAAAAATACCACCTAGTTCAGAGAAGTTCACTTCATGGAAATACTCACGTTCCCTGCCGTAAATGTGAACATTGGAAGGAAGATAATGGCGAGCCTCCCTTCTGGGATCTTGGTGCAAACAGCTGCAAGGACCGTCATGATTGCACCTGACTGCAAGATGACACATTAATGAAAACATGAACACTCTCAGTGTGCAGCTGCAGAGTGATAAAAATGTCTTAGTGACTAAAATGTTTTTTCAGAAAGTTTATATGCCACAAATTTCTAGTTAAGCATAAAGCTTAAAAGCTTTCAGTTATATACAAAGTATCAAGTAAAGGGCCCCATGTTGGTCATGCAACATAACTGGGAAGAGGTTTTACACAGCAGCGAAATGTGCAGCAACCAGCATGGAACTGTTTAATGAACATCAGGGGTGTTCACATTAAGTGCTTCACATTCATCTTTTCATTCAATGACTAAGAAAGCACTTCTCAACCTTCCCCAACAAAGTTCTCCCACCACAGAGAATCAGCATACATTTGCCTAAAGAAGTCCAATTGCATGGAATTCTTTTACAAGTACAGTATTTAATCTTAAAAATTCATGTGATATTTGCATTCTACTTCATTTAAAAAAAAAAAAAAAACTGAACATTTTCCTTAAAGCATCTGAGCACATGTCAGGCTCCAGGAAGACCTGCCATGATGGTGCCTCCCAGGGACATGTGTGCACATGCCTGTTTGAGAAGCACTTGCCCCAATAATATCCGTATTACAGACTAAAATTCAAAGACCCTTAATCAATAAATTGGTCGTTTCATACTATATTTTAGCAGTTACAATCTCCATGTAGATACTTAGAAGTGTTAAAAAGCAAAGGTGTCACTTATGTGAAGAAAAGCTAGGCTTCCAGGGGCTCCGGTGCCTCTGAGGGGGCACTGCTCTGCTGATGGGCTCGTGGCCTATGGGCCGGGGAGTCCTGAGCTTCCCATTAGGACGTTTCC